CAAGTAAAATGTGAAATTTCATGACGTTAATCAATAAATATTACTTATAACAACTAATTGAATATTTGATACAAAAGGACGAGTAGACGTTATTAAGTTCCTTCTCTAATCAATACAACTAAAACCTCAAATTTCCTGAGGTATTCAATTGCATGTAGTTTTCCCATAGCGTTATCACTTATCACTTGAATGCTTACCTGCCTATTTTATTATACCTATAGGTAATCGATTCTCGTCGTTGAATAGGTAATTATCACTTAAATGATGTTAACATTGTTTTGAGTTAGTTTATTCGGATTTCATTGAGTCTGGTTAAATTAGATTGTTGAAATTCATACACTGTTCGGTTGAAAACACATCGTCACGTTGCTGCGTTATAGATAAATTCGAGAGCCAGACATTCGATATTGTATTTTAATACTATGATGATAAAAGTGTTACTTGCAATATTATCTGGAGCTGTTCAATATAATACTAATTAAAACATGTTTTGTTATTCCTGGAAATAGTTTCGAAACAATTTGTTTTCAGACGTCCAATAACTACTCCGAGTCCAAAACGCGAATATTACAGTGCGATATCAAATAAGTATAATTATAATATTGTTTTTTCACTGTAGCTTACCGGTGGCGTAAATGGTGGCCTAATTTGTTTTTCTAATATCATTCCAAAATTGTATCGACTTATACACGGAATGGATTTCAGTTTCTTGACCGTGGTGATTCTCTCGTCTGGGTTAATGCATAACAGCTATAATAATAACAACAACAATTATAGCAATAAAAATATAACGCATCGTTATATTGTTTTTATTATTCAATCGCAATTTTAAGAAGAATGGTAAAAAAGGTTATTTTTTTTGTTAATTTTAACTTTCAACCAGGCATAACTATAATATAAAATGTTCAACCTTTATAATTTATTATTATATTTATGGGTTTTCCTATATACAAAATCTTAAGTGAAAATAATACACCTAGATTAATTAATTATACTTCCTTATATCATTATATATTTATTTATTGATGAGAGTTACTGAAATTTGTTGTAAATAATGTAATTAAATATGCTTACCAATTCTAAATGTTAAATTTTATATTAACTTATCAATACATTTTATACGTCAGGAAAACTTTATTATAATAATAATAATAATAAAATATGGGAGGTTTAAAAAAAAATAATAATATTCTTTAAGCTATTTAATTATTATTTATCAATACACTATGGACAAAACAATGCCGTTGTTATTATTTCTGTTTTATGTATTATAAATAGAATTATAATTTTTTTAAAGGTGAAAAATACCTATCTAAGAGCTTTGTATTTTTGTTATATATATATATATTTTTTTTTAATTAAATGAATGTATCTATTAATAATTTTATATTTTTAATATGAATAAATTATATTAATAATTATAATTGTTAAATATTACTTATATGTATATTTTAGTTTCCTATAATACTTGAACAAGATCACATGATGTGATTGTTAAAAATATTTATAGTATGTTAATATCTGAAAAACTTGGCTTTATTACGATATTTGAATTATACATTCAAAGATCTAAGCTTATCTTAAAAGAGAAAATAAGAATCACATGGGCTAGCTAAAAGACAAACTAAAAGAAAAGTAATTTAAACATTCTTCAACTGAATATAGTAACTCTCGAAATTTATATTTATTAATCTATCCTTTAATTACAAACTATATTTWCATATATTTMAATACTGCGCCGAAGATAAACATACTATTTATACAATCTTTCTAATCAGTAATCATCGACCGATTGCAAATACCACATGATGTATGGATCTATGAACTTCATAACCTAACCTACCTAGACCATAATACTTACAATTACACACAACGACCTCTCTACAATCTCACTCACTATATCCCTTCAAAATGTTTCACAAACCTTAAACTATCTTAAACAACTAATTTCTAAACTTGTCGTGAATAATATCCCGGGAAAAACATTTCGAAAACTCAAGAGTAAATATASCAGACATCTTCTCATTAACATTTTATTATTCAACACAACAGCTGCATATTATAATAACCGTGAAAAAAAGTTGTAAATATACTTTTCGAAAAAAGGCACTCTACGATGTACAAAAATCCATGAGTGATTTCACGGGTGTAGCTAAATCTGTCACAAACCTACTATAAAAGTTATCGTACAATTTTTAAATATATTTTAGGATATAATGTAGATTAGGTATAATAAATATCGGTCATATTGATTTTAAAAACTAATTAAATTAATGTTATTCAATCGATTAAAGTGTGCAGGGTATTATATTTAAATATTTGAAGCAAAGACTATGTTCACATTTCATGCCACTCTTGCAGGCTCCAATAATTAATCCGAGATAAAAACATTTTTCAGTTGGTTGATATAATATAATGTTGTGTAATAGCTGACGTTTTTGTTTGAACTTTTGTTTTATAAGTATTGAAATGAATTACAAATGAGTAGCATTTTTTTTTTTTGTCGTTCCATTTTTTATTTCGCTTTTAAATTATAAAAAAAATAATTATTCAAAATTATAATACAATTGGTCGAATTATATTTATCTCCACCGTGAGCTGATGTGGACCGTACTTTTTATAGAATATGAAGGTAACTTTATTATTATTAATATTATTTTTTTTTTTTTGCAAGTTCCTTTTGTCATTGATGTTCCAGTAAATACCTATTTTATTTTATTGGGTTATTTTATTTGAAGTAGTCTGTTAAAATATGATCTGTATTTATTTTAATTAATATTTCATCGTATTATAATATTAGGTATATACGAACATGTATAGGTTTTATATTTTGCAATTATTCTGATTTCAAATTTAATTGATATTTCAGCTGACTACAATAAATTTCTGCATAACGGAATAATATTATTGCAATAATCAGACTGTAATGATTTTTAACAAAATGATAATTCAAAATTATTCATAGGTTTTCTCACAGTTGATAAGTATTACGTTTTAAATCTAAAAATTAAAAGGTTTAATTTAGCAAAAAAAAAAAATTAATCTAAATAATATTTATAACACAAACAGGTAGTTTTTAAATTTTTTATCGTATTCAAAATGTAAAATCTTTTTTTAAATGCATGTATAATAACAAATCAAAAAAAAACTCGACATCAAAAAGAAAGTAAAATATATTAAAAGTAGACGGGATTTCGTTGGGTCATAAATGTGGTATCTCAGTGAGCTAGGATAAAAACAATGAAAAAAATTACATACAATTCAATATATGTAGAAATATTATTAAATATTATGTTTTGATATAAATCGATAAGTATTTATGTGGATATAAAAACATTTTTACTTACATATTTAAATAATATCTTAAATTCCTACCCGAATCATCACTTTCAGAAATATTGAACAACAATCCTCAATTCATTACCAACATCATACAATTCATCACAGCCACCAATCTTCTTACCAAAATTTAGTTTAATTTAGATATAGATACAATTCATGTAATTTTTTTCCCCTTATATTAATAATTTCTCACGTTAAACCCAATGGCCCATGTTGCTGAGGGTATCATTAATAATAATAATAATAAAAAAAAAAAATATCTTAAATTATAATAATGTGTAAAGTTAATACCCGTTTAGCTAGTTTAAATTGTATTCAATATAATCTAAATTAAACCTTTTTTTTTTTATTAATTTATCTTACCTAGCCTAATCTAACCCATCATGGATCTTTGAAACTAAATATCAACAACATTAAATTGATGATAATATTATTGTTGATCTGAGGAACGGGCCCTAAATAACTCCTCTCTTTTCAATAGTACAATATTATTATAATTATTACAGTCGCATTCCGTGAAATACGTGATTACAATTTTTCAATGTTCCTTACTCTTTGGAATAGTAAACTCAATGGTTCTGAACATTTCGGTGGTATTGCCGTGGATGACGTCGAATTCATCATCATCAATCGAACTTCCCTCGGCGTTGTACCAGAATGGATGTCATATGGTCGACACCTTGACATGACTTCGTAAAGTGTGACGCCTAGTGACCACCAATCCACGGGATACGAGTATCCAGAGCATTCGCCCAACGAGCATAAGTAAACTTCTGGTGCTGTTTGTGAAAAATAATGGAATTAGAAACATAATATTTATTTTAAAATATTATGATAACGTTTAATATTATAGACATTATATTATCATGCATTAAAATGTGCTTTGATGATAAATGAAAATAGCAAAAATATACTGCGGAATTACTATATTATAGCAGCAAAGTCATTGCATAACATAATATTTAATATTATATTGAAACATATTTTGAGATTATTCGATATTTAATTTCCTTTTATAATAATATTATAAATACCTATTATTCACATTGTATAATAAATACCGCATGAAATAGTTTTAAATTCTAAAAATAATTTTATCAAAATTAGTTAGACTAGTTTAAATTGTAACATGATACAATATAGGAAAAAAAAATTATATATTTATTTATTTATTTATATATATAGTCCAGAGTATATATATATTATATAAATTAGAACAATATTTTATTATTTTGCTTTAAAATGTATTGTTTGTTTTTCTTATATCATCCAATTTTGATTTTTTAATATTCATTGATATAATAAAACGTAAAAGTATAACTGTTATAATTCAAGGAATTTAAGTAAGTATATCTCTGTGTTTAAAACATAACCAGAAATGTTATAAAATAAAAGGTATAATTTAAACACTTTCGACATAATTTACTTTAGATATTTAATTGGCTAAATATTATAGTGCTGGATTTATGATTATAAATTATGTTCATGCTTTCTATAGTCACCTTATTATATTTCAAATTTTGGTATATCTACCGTATACATTTATTATAAAGGTGTATGATATTATACTTGTGTAATATTTATTACCCATTACTCATTATTTTTATTGTTTTATCTTTAGTTTAATTAAAATAATAATTTACAAACTATCTTTGAAATAAAATGAATAAAATAATACAACTTCCAGATATACCTATACTATTAGTTAATTTTATACATTCATTTAATTCCTTAGGTTTTAATAATGAGTTTAAAATTTTAAATATTTTTGAAAATTCAAATATTTATAAATTTGCATAGCAATTATGTTACTTGTATGTAATAACCACAATAGACAATAGCTTGTATTGTATATTAAGTATTAACATAAGTTAACAATATAATTTAATATAACCGAAAAAAACAGTCCATCGAAATCATAGTTTTGTGTGTGAGGTTTTGTAATCACTGCCAAAAAAAATATGAAAAACTTTATTAAGTATTTTTGTAAGACTATTCGATCTGAATGAAAGTAGAAGTATTCTATACGAACAGTTTTTAACACTAGAAGAAGTTTAATATGAAATATCGATAAAGCGTTATTTTTTTTTAGGATACTATTTTATATACACAGTAGAAAACATTAATATTAAACGAATAAAATACTGTTTCACCTTTGAATTTAGACAACGTCCGAATTCAGAAATATTACGGTTCAATGGCGGCAAATTCGAGAAAATGCTGGTGTACTACAACCAAATCCCTAATGGCTGTTACAAGTCAGGATATATTTTATACAACAAATATTGCCATGAAAACGACGGTGTTAAGCGTTCGATTATTGTCTTACATCTAGTAACTGTGTTTTTCTCGGCATTGATGACTTGTTTACGAGAAAAATATTCAACGACCTCAGGTATCTACGGAATACAAGACTGACAATGACAATGAAATCTAATTAATGATCTGTAATCGATTTTTTATTAGCCGAGAAGTATTCAAAATAAAACATAACCACAACAGTTAAAATAATAATATATTATGTTAATATCGATCCGTAAACGTCGAATGCCGTATTAATAGTTATCATACGACGTAGAATCTTAATATAATATTAAATACTAGTCAAAATAATATTTTACCAATGTTATTGTTTCAGTGATAATTATTTTAAGATTTATCGAAATTCTCGTTTGTAAATGTCAAAGCCATTGTACCTAATAATTCGTGGTTTCGCCGTATTCTTATTGTGAACAAAGTATTATATTGCATGTAATTTAATGCCATCGCCGTCTGTCATGAAATAAAAATAAAACTATCAAAATCGTTTTCAACATTGAAGATAATTTAAACGAAATTGTTTTCAACTCATTAGAATGCAATTGTTGCAGTATGTATATTTACACATCGTAATTTGTAACTTTTTTTATTTTTAATGACTACATTCTTATTCTTTTCATTGGTTTCTGTTTTTGATATCCTATAGTGATCCATATGATATAATTATTTTTGTGTGCTTAAGGGCACTTTTTTTTAAATTATGATTTTTTTTCTTGTTCGCTTACCCAAACTCTGTGGTATTCGAGTAATCTATTGTATTGTGTGATTTGAAATTTGCGTTAAAACTTTAATAACAAATAAATGGTCTAACAAATAAAATACTGTATAAGTCAACACCAAAGTTTACTATTGTTCACTTTATTTTCACTGGTATTGTATTTTATGTTAGAACATTTTATAAAAAGAACGTGAAATAATCAAAACCAATTTTTTCGCTTTGGATTAAAAACGTGTGTAAGAAAAATATATCAAAAATTTCATTTCAATTATGTAATTTAATGAAAAAGTTATAACGAAAATATGATTTGAAAGTAGTGAGTGATTATATTTCAACTGTATACTAATATAAAAAGAAAAATTTGAATAAATATTTCGTGTTAATTAGTGTTAAAGATTCCAACTGATAGGTCATCAGCCTACAACTATTTAATTATGTTTACATATATATTAATTGATATGGGTGCCTATTCGTTTAGCTAATTTACCATATTTACATCTTTTCTTTTTAAATTAAATGTTTACATAGTAAGTTTTCTTAACTTTGTATTCAATTTTATTTAATAAAACATATACCATTATTGTCGGTGGTATTCTATTTAAATACTTTTATGAAAATATTCAGTTATTATTTTTGTTCTTTATTTTTTTTTAAATATTTCAGATTTATTTTAGGGCATTCTAAAAGTAGATACTTTTATTTATTTAATGTAAATTGAATTTTTATAACTTTATGTCTTTGTGAGTTATACATTTTTAGCAAAACATAATAATGTTTATATTTTTATTCTTATAATTTAATGTATTACTTGAAATGCTGCAATTGTATAGATCTATAATATAATTTATTATTATATACGAGTAGCAAATGTGACACGCCAATAATTTTTTATTTAATTATTTTCGTTCTATTATAGTTATTTATATATATACCTAATAATAATAAACCGATGATCGCTATTTTTTATGCAGTTCTTATTACGAAAATCGTAATTGTTCTTTAATTTATATACAAAATTACAAAATAATTACAGATAAACATTTTATACATACCTATATAAGGTTTGGTGCCAGACAGCGACGACGCTAATTTTTTACCATGTAGTGTAGCTGCTATATTAAAATCGGTAATGTGTGCATGACCTACAAAATGAAGTTTGATACATTATGATATATGTATAATAAATAATAATGAATAAGTTGATCATTGTATTATTAAAATGTGTTTTGTACGATTAATATATTGTAGATTTCGTACAATTGTATTATAGTATCCTAAATTAATAATATTTAAAAAAGATTATATTGAAATTCAGTTTTGTTGAAAAAATATTGATTTTGAGTTTTAATGTAATATTATTTATTGATGTTCACAACTAAATGATAATGTACAATAAATGGATATAGACAATGGCTTGTATTAAATGTTTTCATGTTAAAATCAAAAATAATGTTGAATTTTGGGCAGTTTATGTAATTTGATTATTTTGTAGATTATGACATTGATCATTAAGATAATAATCAAGACACAATTATTAAACTATTTCATTGAATAACTTAAATAACTCTCAATTGCTATCATATTTAATCAATTAATGTGTTAAATATATTTTTATTAAAAAAGTAAAATCAAAATCTCAATAATAACTGAATTATTTTAAAATTGTAATTGATTTAATTAAATGTTATTTTTAAATAACAAATTGTAATTTTCAATTTATATAATAAATTTATCCAAAATATCTAATGCCATTTTGATTTAGTAGTTTTAAAAGTGCAGTGATCCTTAACCCAAAAAAAAAAAGAAATTCATGGTACAACACCAGCTGAAGAAGAATATTTAACATTTTTAATTAACATTCTGATTTCCTGCCTACCAACGTGGTACTGGGTAGGCAAATTAAACGAAAAAAAAATTAAGTTTCTTGTAATATAATATAATATTCATATGGTTTTAAGGTGATTTTAATTCGCCTATAAATATCATTCAGCCACGATATTCATTCTGGAAGTTTCATAATGCAATTCGTTATGAAATATGTCAATCCTTACCTTCTTCATCTAGCAGAATATTCTCCGGTTTTATGTCCCTGCAGAGAGAGAAAGAGAGAGAGAGCGTGTAAAAAAGTATGGAAAAAAGTTTTAATCAGTTAAATCATATATATTAATATATTATATATTAAACATAATTTTTTTTATATTTTCAAACAAATTTCAAAAATCAAAAAAATGTTTTCACATTTATGATCATTCTTATTTTGCATAATGATCAATAGTTCACTGCAATTCTTCGATAATCATATAATCAAGGTAAGTATGTTGCATATATTGTTACAGCAAGGTCAACACAAAAAAGCATCAGTCGATCAAAAACATGGACGGTGATTAATAACTTCTCTCGTGCAAAATGATCAAACTTTTTTTTGTTTCTTTTTTTTTTTGTCATTGAAATCGCTCGGTGGTCACAATAAGGCACAATCAATCACCGACCCATTTACACGTCTTGTACACACCTACTGCTCAGACCTACAGAAATACGTATGTGAACATCCTCACCGGATCGTCGAAGTAATCACTCGTTTATCCGAAATAATATACATATGTAGGTATTGATATCACACAATAATCGTAAGAAACTTAGCCGTTGATTAAAAAACATACATGGTATAGTTATTATAGTTTTTTTTTTCTAAAGAGGATCTTTTATCACTAAAATTATCGGTAGATAGGTGCTTCTGAAAATGTATTTTTTATATACAATTATTATATTATTTTTGTTTCTGAAAAAAAATCACCTCACATAAAATTGTTTATGTTTTCAAAAATGAATCAATTTATATTGTATGGTTACAGTGTAATTTATTCTGTTCGTTATCGTTTTCTAATTTTTCTAATTATCTACATCATGACTGAAATTAGAAACTTGTAATATCTGTAATATGTACTTAATTCGCTGAACAGGATATTCTGGTCAAAAGTGATAGTTGTGCTCTATTTGCACAATCTACGTGCACGGGACTTTTTGCGACTGAAGTGAAGTGTATTTCTTTAAAAAGTCTTTGAGCAGCCTTGTGATAGCTGTGATAACGATGTTAAAGAATTACCAGACTTAAAACTTTTAATCAACAAATTATTAGTTTAAGATGAAAATCTAAAAGATATGAATTATAATAACCCTGGTAATATGTCTGTGCATTACTCTAGTGAATTTATTTTTAATAAAATTAATGAGCATAATCATTGCGCCAACAAAAGGCGTTTGATAAGGTGAATTATAATTTAATATTATAAATTAAAAATGTATTGTATAGGTGGTAKCTTTTTAAAATGGATATTTACTTATCTTACTAATCATACTCTAGTAATTAAAATTATGTCACATATTTCTGATGAATATCCTGACTTATCAAGTGTTCCTCAAGGGCAGCTATTTAGGTATTTTACTATTCTTAATATTTAGATCTCCTACTAGTCCTTGATAGTTCTATAAAAATTCTATTATTTGCGATTTTTTTATTATTTATTATCGATAATATTTATAAATGTAATATTACATCGTTTACCCGTAACAAAAGTAAAACTTTTTTAACTATAATATTGAACTTGGACCTCCCACTAGAGTAAATGTAATCAAAGAGTTGGACAAATATTCTTAAAATGATCTTTCTTTTAAAACAAATCATAAAATGATTATTAATAAATCGCTTAAGATATTAGGCTTAATTAATAGAAATACCAAAGATTTTAGAAATCCGTTTTATTTAAAGCATTATATACATAATTATTCAGATTCAATTTTGATTTTGGCTCCGTAATTTGGTCTACCAAACACTTGACATACATAAACAATTTAGTTAATGTTCAATATATTTTTAAAAGGGATTTCATATAATATGTCAAATATTCCATTATCTAGGGACTCTCGCCATCTAACTCAAGATTATATTGGTTTTGTTCTTTTTTGACTTAGACGTAAGTTAACTGATATATTGTTTGTCTTTGATATTATTAGTTATATAAGTAATATTGTGTGTCCTGAGTTATTGTTTGAAATTGGCTTTCGAATTCCATATCTAGTTACACGTAATTAAGATTTATTCTTAGTTCCCCATTTTAAAACTAATAGTGGTAACAATTATTTTCTGTTTCAATCGTTAATTTTAGTTAATATAATTTGTACACATTTAGTCTGAATTATTTATGTAATTGACACTAGAGTTATTAATTTTTAATTTAATATATAAATATATACACACACACACATATATATATATTACTATACTTAAATGATTTTTTTTTAGTCTGAGTATATATAGATATATATTATACATTTTAAAAGGGTTGCTCTGCCCGTTATAAATCACATAAATATATAATAAATAATTATTTGCTCGTTGCTGTAGATAGAGCGTGTATCTGGTACATAATATATTATATTTTGCACTCTACGCATATATATTTTTTTTATACATATCTGATAGCCAGTAATGTAGGCATAATAATACGATGGCATTAAAGCCTACATGAATGACGTAAACCCTCGTACCTACGTATATAATAATAGGTACGTCATGAATACATATATCGCACGAGTGTGTTTGCAGACATGTTAACTCATATACGTTGTTATAGAAGTGAAGTTAATGGCGGAGAAACTATAATAACATAATCGGTGCGCTTAGGGCGGATAAGTGAATTCTCTAGAAAATATAGGTACGCGAGGAAAATGATGAAGATTGGATAGTTGATAATGTAGCAAGAAGAAAAAAGGTAAAAAAAAACTCTTCTATCACCGCATTCGAAAATTTGGTGTACACTCGAACACGATGAATGACATTATTATACCAGGTGATTGGTGAATCATTTTAAACACAAAAATATACTCATTTTACAACTCTTTTTGGGTTTTATTAAATTTTCCATTTTCAAAACTACGTTTAGTGTTATGATGTCTTTTTATATTCAATAAAAACTATTTGTAACTTTATATTCATTTAAAAGAGAATATTTTCATGCATAAATAATTAATAATAATCAATATTGAATTGATGAATTTTGATATTTTGCGATCATTGATATTTTTGATGACCGTAAAAGTGCATTTTGATATTCCATGAAACCTTTACAGCTTTGCACCTTTCAACTAATATTAAAATTCTTATAAATAAGTAAACATTATATTCATTAAATATTTTCAGAATAGATTAAACAAATATAATGATATATCAACTATATAAAATCTTATAAATCGATATTTAATTACTTATGATTACATAATAGATTATTAGGTACTTTGATGAGTGGTATACGTCAACAGAATTATTATTTATTTTTATAATATATTTTGTATACGATAATGATATTAAAACTATGGTTTGGATGTTTATTACGATATTTTGTTCTATTATCTCTAATATTCGTGCTGAATTAGATAACAAGAGAATTTTTCTCATGATATTTTAATAAGCTGATGTTATAAATCAATATCATCGAATTTGATAAGATTTTCTACGACCCAAGAGATAGACCCTCCTAAATGACTCTATCCTAGTGGAATTATATCGTTTTGCGGTTCTTACTATTAATTACCCAATCAAAATACAATACAAAGGCTTTTCGGTAGAGTAAGTTAATGACGATATTCTTCAAACCCCTGTTAATAGTAATGTATTTTTTGTATTTTTGTTTTAAATATTAATTGTTGATGGTTAGAAACACTCAAATATGTACAGAATTCACTTAAACTGAAAATATCTTAAATATTCAAAACAACATACCAATCCATACACCAGTTTATAAAAACTAATCAACACGCGTGATTCAAAATACCAAAAATGTTAATACAAAACATTTGGTTTGTACATTTTTAATATTATATGCAAATATCAGTCGTACTTTTGCCCTCAAGACATTAAATGGTATTGTGGTTTGTACTTACCTATGAACTATATGCTTGCTTTGCAAATATTCCAACGCAGAACCAATTTCGCAAGCAAACAGTTTGATTGAATTTTCGCTGAACTTAACGTCTTGACCCAAGTGATACCTCAGATCGCCACCCAATAACAAGTCTGAAACCATGAACAGGTCTTCCTCGTCTGAAACACATTGTAGGTGCCTACCTATAGTTATTTGATATTCAACACAGTGTCTTCGTCACTCGTAATTTCGAGTGAACATAATAATATTACTATCGATAACGTATGAAATAAAACATTCTCAAAAGCTATAATAGTGACGTTCAAAAGTCCTAAAGTATAATTATCGTAATCGTATCCAGTGTAATATTTTTTATGAATTATAATATCGTGTTATTAACTATAGTTATTGTAATATTTATAGTTACTGGTCAACTTTCAAACATTAAATCACCTGCGTAGTGATTATAAAAGCGTGTTTGTTAAATGTATTGTGTTCTAAAAATCTATTATAGCATATTGACAACAACAGTCAATCTACCAATACATTAAAACCCTCAGGTGTAGTTTGTTCTGAATTCAATACATTGAATAAATATTAAATCAATATTTGACATAACATGTTTCGAACAAAAGAGTACGACTAACACTTTCTACACAATTAAATATTGAGTGAATCCGCTCATTATCGTTTCACCAACACAATTTTCTGTGCTAATAAATGCTTATAGTAACGCATTAGTTACAAATTACTATAACATTTTGAAAACGAATATTATATTATATGTACATTTTAAAGAATATTAATAAAGCTGTTCTAAGAACACTATACTGGTAGTCGGGAGCTGAAGTAGATATTGAGTAGATATACACTATAATTATATAGATTGTAAACACTTAAATAAAGTTATATATATATTTTTTTAATGCTATGAAATAATGAAAAACATTATAAGTACCATACCTATTATTATATATTCATTAGTGCAATATACTAAAACTTAAACAATCAAATACATTTTTAAATTGTAAGATTAATAATAAAAAAATAAAAATACTGTAGGATACACTTTTTACAAAATCACGTAACTATTACCTATACAAAAATTTAATTTTGATAATATTTAATACTAAATGATCCTGCATGGYATTTCTGGGGAAAAATTAAATAATTCTAGTGGTGAGGATTTACCCTGTCTTAAGCTCCATCAAATTTAAGCTACCGCGTATTTTCTACATTGTTATATGAGTGGTTCTGATCAAATATAAAACACAAGTCTAAAATTAAATCCTATTATAATAACATTTTTTATTTCCTGTGRCCAATGGTAATATTGGCGACTCTATGTGAGAAAAAAAATTGGTTTTTGTGAACCAATAAATCCTTATTCCTTATGTGAGCACCTCTTTTGAATGCGATATTTGCCATTGCAGTCCACATCTTTGGGTATAATTAAGATTACTTATGTGTTATGTACCAAATTTCAGAAGAATGAGAACTAGAGTCATTTCTATGAATCATTTATATCAAAACGAACATTGCCTTTTATATATATGAATATTATTTCATTAAACATTAATATATACTACTTTTTTTTTTTCAATCAGTTATAAAATATATAATTAGATCATTTTTATTTTCACAAACTGTTTCATATTGTTTTGTATTTTTGTTTATATTGCTTAAAGCTCCAGGTAGCCCTCCAATATTTATATGATTCTATGCGGTAGTACATTTTTACGAACGTTATAAGTAATTTATCTTAAGTAGTTTCATGTCATACGTCATATCATTCATAAACTCAGATATACATTTTATATTTAAGATACTGATTTTAGAATTATTATTATTTATTTTTTGGTCTATAACACGGATCATTCAAACCATCAAAATTGATATAACAAATGAACATTTAAAGTTAATCAAAGTAAATCTACTTTCACGCTTAGACAAGCCACTTTTCCAAATGTACTACTTATGTATTCCTATCCCTCCATTACCCACAGTCAAATTTCTTGGTTAAAACATTTGATTGACGCTTAACTTAGGATCACAAAATATGTGGAAAAAATATTAAATAATCAGCTTCGTATSCTTAAACATATAATTATTATCAAAGTCACGCCTATTAACATTTAACTCCTCATGTACAAAACCTTATTAAAACTCATATGAACATACAGCTATGGATAAATGCTAAAGAGTCCAATCTAAATAAGATACAAGCTTTTCAAAATATGACCTTTAGAAAAAAAATAGTAAATGCCCCTCTATGTATCAAACTATACTCTACACATAGATTGTAACTTTAAATCTATTGATGACTAAGCTAAATATTCCTAAAGAACATTTTATAACTGTCTATCTACTCACTCAAAACCTCTTATCTAAAACTTATTATCCCTTCATTCCAGGTAGTCTCCCTCTGAAGGTAACTGAAACTTAAAATGTGCAGAGATTTATTTCATTAAAAAAAAAGTGATCAAATAAATAAAAAAAAGACTTAATTTAATCACAAAAGCTTTAATATAAATTGAAAGTGTCATCATAGTGGGTGGTTTCTTTCACCAAAATCTGTAACTTTATTTTTTTCTCTATTTATAACGCACATTATGTTATTATTTTATGGTTTGGTCCATTTACAACGTGAAATATCAAATTCTCTACTTAGATAATGTTCAAAATCGTTTCTAACGTTTTTTAGCTTTCAATAAAACATGTTATCCGTGAGCCTCATTCTTCTTATCAGCCATTATTAAATTTGTTTTACATTTATTGTCTATCAAATAAAGAAAAAAAATAGATTTAAAACTTTTTTCAAACTTCTAAACGGTTACACTGATTGTCCAGAATTATTAAGTTTCATCAATGTTAGGTTCCTCAGCGTAGAACTAGGTCTACTATTATTTTTAAAGTATTTTAGTAGTACTAAGATTATCAAAGAAAAAATTATTCTCTGCTTTTACCTGTCAACAGAATTACCATGTCATTAGCAAATGACACCAACATAAATTTATTAAATTTTACATCCATATAATTTTTTTATAATTCTGTAAATTTATTTTTATGTTTTTAAAAGTATTTTAAAAAAATTATAGTATTTGAATATTGTGGTTATTATTATTATTATCATTTGTATTGTTTATATCATTGTATAAGACATTATCTATCATAAAATCCGTTCGAATTTAAATAAATAAATATTATATATTTTCTTTTCAAAAAAATATGAGTTAGATGAAATATTTAAATTATTTATTCATAAACTTACACAATTAAGAATATCTGAGATTAATTTGTCTCGTGCAATTATTATTTTAATCAAAATAAATACAACTGCAGAGGTAAATAAAACGTAACATCGACGTAAATATTTTGTAAAAATATTTTGGTTAATTCAAGCGTATTATGTCATATAAAGTGTACACTGTACAATCTCAATTATGTATTATTGATTTAATAGTATATATTTTAAATTATGCATACCTTGAAAAGAGAACCATAGATTTACCAGAAATGGATGTTCAAGCGTAGTTAATATTTCCATTTCCCTTAGTACATTTTTTAAGGCATCTCTTTCAATGCAACGACTCTTCTGCATGTACTTCATTGCATACATTTGACGAGAATTTTTCTTTTCCACTATACATACCTATAGACAAACATCATATATGACATAAATGTAATACATTTAAAATAATTTAATACATTAACTCTACCAGTCAAACGGTAAAATAATATTTTTTAATCAATTTTTGAGAATCTAACCTTATACTCTCAAAAATTGAGGAATCATAATTAATATGCTTTTTGTTAAAGTGTAGTTATAAAATATCCAGTAGCATACTACATTGTGTTAGGAATTTCACTATTTTTTTTTTTAGCTTTAATTGTTGAGTTTCTTTATCTTGCAATAAATATCGTGTTAGGAAAATCGGTCGGAAAAAAGTTTATACCCAGCCCTATAACTTATCCATGTTAAAATATAAACATTTAATTGAATGGTAAATTTCATATGATATCATTTTATAATATTGTGGACTTAAGGGTAGGTTATGTTAAGTTACACTACAGAAATCAACATATTTTGAGTTCTAGATGTTTTTAATAGAAAGCTTCTAAAATAATTAAATAAAATCACTATAAGGATTAAGGACATTATATTTTATTAAGTCTATGTTTAATATTTATAGATTACCAAAAAAAATAGGAAAAAAATAGTTTTAGAGAATCTTTTACCATCTTCCAAGTCCAGACTATATTCTACATTTATGAAATGACCTTTGTTAAATGATAGGTTAGGTTATTAACTCTCTTAGTTAATTATAGTGGTTTGACGCCAAATTTTGTCTGTAAGAGCGAATTTTTTTACTCAAATTTATTACTTTTAACCCGGTATACTCTTAAATTATAATGGATTTATTCAACTAAATTAATGCGGTAGGTATATTACAAGTGTATAGTAATTTAATATTTATGAATTATAATAATATCTAATAAGATACTTGTTCATAGTTCGGTTCCGAATGTCGTAATGTGCGCACGTCTGTTCATTAGAAGTATGCTCGCTGCTCTCTTTATCTAATCGTAACCCTCCTTCGAAAATATTGTTATCATGATCCACGATTTGTGAAATGTGGGAAAATCACGTCTCAGGTTCCTGTATCAAGCCACGTGACTCTTCAGCCAGATGTGCCTTATGCAATGGCAGCCACACTGCCAACTACAAAGGTTGCTCCGATTACAAAAAACTTAAACGTGATACTTCCCCAATTAGGCGAGATCCTACCATACCTACTCTTTCACTAAAAAACAATACCAAAATCTCTTCTGCTACCAATCAGTATTATTATGCTCAAGCCACCTTCTCTGGTAAAAACTATTCTAAGCTTAATTCAGGTATCGAATCTTTATTATCCTCTTTCATCTCCGAATTTTTAATATCATAAAACCCCTCCTCTCCCTCCTTACTTCACTTCTATATAAGTATCAATTATCAACAATTTAAATATATCAAATCGTATTAATCACGTTATACCTCTTTGCTTACTATCTGTTCAGTACCTGTCTTTTAAATATTAATTATCTTATACTCTGTACATTCATATCTTATATTTATATTTATGTATTATAAACCTTAACGTCATTGTATGTTCATATATATAATATCCTATCAATTTATTGTATGTCATGCTATTTTATACTCTATCTTTGTTTTGTTTTCGGCTATAATTTATTTTATAATTGTTACATAATTGCTATTTTTGTATAATAGTTACTCTAGAAGCTAATAAAAGAAAAAAGATACTTGTTTTTATTTTCTATCATCATTAGTAGCCACTAGCCAAAATAAGGGGTAAATTATTAGTATAGGTAATCTATACACATAAGAATCTACTAAAAGTTTAAATTACAAAAACAATTTAATGTCCTAGAGAACCACTATACATACTTTGAGTTAAGAAAAATTTATAAATAATTGTATATGTATGTCTTATCTTCTTCTTTAGATTATTACATGTATGAAAACCATCCACAAAATAAAAATAATAACTTGACCATGTAAATAAATCCATAATAATGAATGAATATATAATGTACGTTGTACATACAAATTAAACGTTTTAAATGTAATAGTCATTTCCAGAGAAGTTTAAAGTAAATAGCACTTTCTGTACCTAGTCGTTTTTATGAAGATATTATACCCTCATGTGCTCAACGTCTTACAAATGAGTAGCATAACAAATTGTATGCCCAGCAGATTACGCTAAAGCTCCGTTAGTTGAAAAATAAAAGTGAATTGATCTTTAATAAAATGTATAGGAGTTTTATTTAAGCGACTTCGTGGGATTTTTACTGTATTTTAATTTTGAAAATTATTATAATAATTTTAAAATTTACAATAATTTTACAATTTATTGATATTTGTATTGTAAAACCCTATATGTTTGTCTAAATACTACTAATTCTCTAACCTTTACATTTTTATAGGAGCTCAATTCAATCTACTTTTTAATTAAAATGCTAAAAGTTATTTTGGATTTGAATTCTAGATACCTAATAATATAACTTATCTATTATAAGACAAGTATAATTTGATAGTAGTATGTTCCATGAAATTTTCTTTTGGAAAAATATGTATACACTATTAATTGATGTAACTTTGTTAACGAATCGTGTAATTAAGAAAGTTGAAAATGCGATTCTATTCCGCATGATGAAATGTGATTGCATTAACGGTATTATGTAGGTATGTGGAATTATTTTTATCGATCAATATTGCAGTGAATATTAAAATATTTATTTTTTCATTTATTAACTGGACATTTAATTTTAGTAAAAATATATATATTTAGTAGAAATCCTATAACCAGGTATATACGAAAATGTTTATTMATGAAAATGAAAATGAATTATGTCATAATGATTCGTATTCAAGGTTAGAAAAACCACTTTAATTATTATTTATTGTAAATGTAAACATTGTATGGATCCTACGCGTGAAGATAAAGCATATCTTTGAAACAGAGTGAAGTAATTAAAATGCACTTGTATATAATTAAAGTTAATAATTTACATTGATCAAGGCATAAGCGATACTTGTATGTTATGAACACATATTATGCAGTTAAATTTATTTTAATATATTTGTATATTGATATTTTATTAGTCAAAAGTCATACAGTAGTTGTTTATCATAATATTATAAATTACACTGACGTTGATTGCTAATAAATGTACAATTAATAGTTTATATTTTATTGTGAGTTCGAACACTATTTATTCATTTATGGTTACCAATTATTAAAGTATTTGTGATGTATTCCTTTGGTTCATTACGACAGGAATAATGTTTCACCACTTATCCAAATTCATTGAATTTCGAAAAAAAAACTTATATATATATATATAAACAGTTATTAATTTAATTTAGAACAAAAATGTTTATTCTTTAATCAACACCAAATAATGTTTTTATGTATTTATCATGATTTTTATTATTTTGTTGATAATGTTGATAATGAACGTAGTGTTTTTTTTTATCTTTAACACAGTTCATTTAAACTGAAACGATTTTATTATATCTAAATTCCAAGCAAAACAAATACTTTATCGGATAATAAAGTTATTAATTAGAAATTTATGAACTGAATAAGCAAGCACTCGTTTGAGACTATTTTTTTCTGTCGTTTAAGAATAAATATGCATCTTAAAAGTTCTAAGATTAATTATTTACGTAGTGTATCCTAATTCGGATTTCATAATTTCATATTGGTTTTATTTTTTTTAAATAGGCAATGACCAAAATTATTTGGTTGTTTATTAATTAAAATTAAATATGATATTTTAAAGATGATATTTCACAGATTATTTTATATTTCTTATTTAAAGTATAAAATAATAATTATCTAATATAATATGTTTAATTCATATACAATATATTTTAATTATACTAGTTAAGTAGGTTAGGTTAGGTATTATTTATCAGAATAAAATTGTACATTTATAACTTATTTTAAAGTCTTGAAACTTGCGTATTAATTTATTTCCGATGTAGATATTAAAATAATGACTGTTATTTAATTTATATTTTTATTAAAAATACCATGATTACAAAAATTTAATTTAATTTAATTTTTAAAAATTATTTTAAATTGTTCCACAAATTTCACAGCTACTGTACAACTAATTTGTAGAATTCTGTTTTCTTTTTTAAGCCACAAAATTGTACAGTGTGATTTTCATCACTTACAATAATTGTTTTGTAACGTAAATATCATGTTATGCTTTATGAATAAAACATAACTAGTTTCAATATAAAGCAAACTTATAGTATTAAAATGTCTTTATATAATATATAAAGATATATACATATTAAATTGATGCTCTTATTGGTAGTCACTTGTTATTTAAATATTTATGTGGCTTTATTATAGGTACATTTCTCTTGTAAGTTTTTCTATCCTAATGACACACGCAGGGTACCAGTAAGGTAGTTACTAGTTAGGTATGTAAAACGTACGGCGTAGTGAATATTGTAAATTCGGGTCAGATTGCGCGCGCACACATGCATCAATGACTTGTAAAAAGTACGTAGCATATGTACTAAAAAACGATTCTAAAATTGAATTCCTCAAAAGTAATGTATTTTTAGGTTCAATGAACTAGGCATATACGCATAAAGTACGAATAATCAGACATAAAATGTCTCTTGCAACATCGTAATGATGTTGTTACAATCAGTGGTGGTATTTTCAACGTTTTTATGGAGATGTATAATAAATATGTAAGTTAATATTTTACCTATATAATTAATATTATACAAATGATATAATATATAAGAGTTATGGAATTATTATTACATTATTATTATAAGTGCAAATTAATGTTTTCTTCCTCTGTACCTACATACTATGTCATCCATTACTTTTGATTTTTTGAACTTTTTCCATGATGAGTGTGGGGTGGGGGTGTTGACACCCAGGATCACCTCAACGAAAATACTCCACGTAATACAATAATGTGAAATTTAAATTAACGGGAAAATGTGTGTAATATGTTATCGACTATATTCCATCGACAGTAATAATATGAATCTAATAGCGTAGCACATTGGGTCGGTGGTACTAGAATAAGACTTTGTATAGATCCCATTATTTATGAAATATTTTAAGACAATAATACTTTTGTAATACAGCAGATTATATTATTGTAATCTTATACAATAGTGGAAAATTAAAAAAAAAAAAAACACTAAATTGTATTGATGTTTATTTTCCAGTTGAGCTCACCTCGTTAATAATTCAGCTGCCAATCTTATAAATTGCTACGTCATATATTTTTCAATGTTTATCAAGATTACCAGCTAGATATCATATTAATTACATAAACATTTTATCATTCAGGTAAAATTCTATATTTTATTTAATTAATAACACATAACATAAATACAAAAGTATTTATTTAGTAACTGCGTATGATGTTGATTCAAATTTAATTACTACAACACACATAATTAACTAAATAACAATAATATAATTCACAAAATATTGTTAATAGCTAGGTACTTACTTTACCAAAACTTCCTTTACCGATTGCTCTCAAAATTTCAAAGTGGTCAAAGTTCACTGAAATCAAAAAGACAACTTTTAAAATATCTTTCAACATAAAATCTGTATAATATTCAAGATAATTCATATCATAATATTATATATCAATAACTAATCTTTAGAAATATCATTTTTATGTTATTTTTGAAATAAAATATAACTATCAGATGTTTATTATTAAAATCACTAACAAAAATATGTTTTACTTGAAAGGTTTTCATAAGGCGTGAGTATTATAATAGGAAAAAGTTAATTGTAATGTTTAATACAATATAATTCCAAATGCATATGAATTGAATTTAGGTAATTACTAATCACGTGTAAGATTTGTTTCATAAAGTGTAAAATTGACTATCTAAGATTGAAATATTCAACGTGATTCTACAAGACTAACTTTATTTTCCCAATCCATATGTGAATGAAAGGTACATACAATAGTATGTCTAGATACTTCAAGGATGATATCAAAGACATTGTTTTTTTTTTTTTTAGAATAGAAACATGTAATTCAGATAGACAATATCATCAATAATTTTAATAAGTGTGTATTTATAAGCTCTGTGAAATTAGTTTAAGAAAATTATTAAGATAATGTTAATACTGTGTTAATGGAATGATAAATTAAAATTGTAAAATAAAAACGAAAACTAAAATAATATTCATTACAAATTACAACTTTTTTAAATTAATTAATTACTCTGATAAAAACAAAAACCCCCAAATATTGCATAGTATAATCATGTAAGATGTGGGTACGAACTTTACTAATATAAGTGATATTAAGTTCAAAAAATAACTAAGGATGTATTTATAATAATTTAAAGCAGTTAAATTATTAATTATTCGACCACTTAAAATAAGTAGTTTTTCATAGAATTACTATTCAGTAAATAATTAACGAATTTGTTCGGTGTTATGAGATTATTTTGCGTTGAACACATAATGCAAATTAATAGCTATACATAATTTCTTGCAAAGTATAATATTGTTCAAATTTTTTTCTAAAATAAATATTACTGCTTTAGTTTAAAACAAAGGTAAATATATATATATATATATATATACCTTATTATTTTGTCAATACATATTGAAAGGTTAATCATTTATAAATTACTAGATACGTCTTACAATATCTAATTTAAAATAGATATGATACAAAAATAGTGTTTGAAGTATGATATTATGAAACATTTCTCAAAAACGTGAAATAATAAAATTATTTTCAGACAAATCTTAATATAAGTAATTTATCAATTATTATTTATATTATAGTACATAGACTCTAGATTTAATCATTGATATTAATTCAATGAGTGCCGTAGTTGACATATTTCCTAGGTATATTATGTAATTTATATAATGTATATATTGTATTGTTTACGACTATTTAAACCAAGAGTAGATTTTTTTCCCCCACGAAATGGATTATTGTTGAGAACGATGTAATGATAGTACCATTTATGACAATTATTCGTAAAAATAAAATATATTGATATATTTGAAAATAAATATTAAAATACTGAATTATTTCGCAATTTTAAATTTKATGAAATTCTGAAACACTAAATAAAACCAACAAAAACTTTATTTCAACTTAATTTCAAAAATTGAATTTGATATTAGGTATTTACCATCATAATATTATTATACTATATCTAAGTATTAAATATACCTACCTTAGAAATCACAACGGCATTATTATAATATTATGTGGAACATATTTACTATTTTTTTTTTTTTTAGTTCAAAAGTTTTGCATATTTAAAGCTGCTTATACATCTTTAATAAGTTCAAAATAGTTTTTAATAAAAGTTATACATTCTAAATTCGAATATGTTTTTAAAATTAAATGTTCTAACGCTGTGTGATATTATTCAAAGAGTTGAGTTTGAAAACAATAATATGTATCTGATAAATTATTATGATACAATTATTTTTACATTTCAAGGAACTGTATAAAACTATATTTCACAATATCATTCAGAATTTAAACTCTTAATTAAGGACCATATATTCGAAACATATTTTCTCGAAATGCAGATCATATATAGGAACTAAGCTCAAACTCATAATCAACCTAAATATATGTTACACCATAAACGCAAACATATAATGTGAACTTCTTCAAAAAAAAAAAAACATGTTGGATAAACAAATTTTTAATTTTTGAAATAATATTTCTCCTATATTAATATGCATGATTTATATTGATAAAATACAAAAAAAAAAAATTAATAATATATAATCTACGTAATTAAATGTAGTATAATATTATAAATTTGTATCTAAAGGAATTTGTAAAAACGAATGGACTTAACTTCTGAAGATTCAGATGAATAATAATAATAACTATTATTATTATAACGAATAATAAAAATAAATAGGTACAATAAAAATAAAAATTATGCTTTCRAAATTTTATTTTCATGGGTCCCACTCTTTCATCGTGCATAATAGAAAACATTAATATGAAGTACAATTTATGTTTAAATTTTGTAAATGTATGATGATTATAATTTATAAACTGGTTTCCTGCAGTGAAATATCTAATGAAAAACTCTGGAATCCAATTGAAATACTTTTAAGTTCGAATAAAACGTCAGATTTTTTGATTTTTCTTCAGAGAGTGGCTAAAGTTCTTCGTAATATTAATGCGTTTACTTCTTATGCTTCATTATAAAAGAGCTTTTCAAGAATAAATTATGATTATAATTGGTTCTGCACATTTACATTTTGTAATATTGTCCGGAGCTTTAAATTTTTGCCTAACCTAACCTGTATAAGAGATACAAAAATAACACTTGTTTTTTATTTGTTTTTGTTTTTAATGCAGACGTTTTTATGAACATCTTTTTTCCGACACGATGTAACGAAAATAAATGTTGAAAGCATTAAAAGTAAAGTCTCGGGTTTTCTCTTACCTGAGTAGAATATTTTTTCAAGAAATTGCGGCGTATACACAATCATAAGTGGAAAAGGGTAAAAAGTTCATACCTCATAGAGTTAGAGTCTTATGAGAAAATCGATAATGTATCCCATCATATAAATATATTACCCATATAAGGTTTTATTATATTGTGCACTCTATGTACTCCTTTCAAAATAAATGTTTYGTATTCATATGTACCAAAATAGCAATGACATTACACTCAAATTAATTCATATAAGTAATACGTGAATATGCTCCAATATTGCAGTTTATTTATCCTCATAAAACTATTCCATGATATGTTTTTAATTATGAAAATCTTAAGAAGTTCGAGAATATCTGAATATGTGATGGTACATATAAGATTGAATTCAACAGTAGGTTGATAAATGCTAATTTATTCGTGATTAATAATGCTCTTGATTATTTCCGCATAACATTTTGGTTATTTGCAAATATAGCCTAATACTATTTACATAAATTTACTTGCGTATTTATAATTATAATATTATTTATAGTGGCATTTATGTATATACTGTGGATGCATTCTGCGTACAAACATTATATTTTACATTTAAATTATATTTTTGTCAAATATAATAAAGGTAGGTATACAAGGTGTTTCAAGATGACATGACATATGGAATAACTTTTGTTTAAAAAAATTTTCACTTGTGCTAAATTCTAAATATTATTTTTTTATTTTCAGTATTCAAAAATAAAAAACTTGAAAATTTATATTTTTTTTTTTTTGGATAAATTCAAAATAGCTTATTTGTGAATCTGATTAAAACAACAATTCTGATTGTAAAAGGATTTATCTAAATCAAGTAGTTTATTTTTTAGAACTTTTTTAAAATTCTATTTTTTTTTTTTGGTTAAATTGATCTGAAACGCAATAACTTCTTAAATTATTTACTTATTATATAGTAACGGAAATTTTTGTCATATGTTTCATTAGCATATTTTTTTCGGACCATTCTGAGATACCCTGTACAAGTACACCTACGCTATTATATGTAGATAAGTAGACCCATCTATAATGTGTAAAAACATATTGATATGTTAGATAAAATGATACACGAGTTTAAACTTGTTTAAATATTTTATCACATATTATTAGAAATATGATGTGTTATTCACAACAATAATGGTTATAAATTGTATTGTGAGAGCAAATGAAAGTAAATTCATAATACTTTTAAAATATAAATCTACAGTTGAATTTGAAAATATTATAAACTACTAGCTGTATTTAAAGATGTAATGGAGAATGGAGTATATAAAAAGGTATAAACTACATAGGTATAGGTCKATATAAAAACGAAATATTTGGTTGAAATATCATTTTGACATTTTCCAGTCAACCATGTTGAACCAATTAAGTTTTCGTATAGAGTTGTGTTGACTCATTTTTGTAATTTATTTAAATATTAGTTTACACAAGTCTATSTCATGTAGTGTTTTTATTTATTTATTTAAATATTTATATATGTCATATTATTTTGCCCTAACACGAAACAATTACTTTTCTGTGTCAACATTTTAGGTTTGTTTGGTAAAAATTGTTTTTTATTACATTTGAAAGAAAAAAACTTATAACTTTGGTCATTCTGTGAAAAAAAAAACTGACGAAAAATGACTACAATGGTATCTAATGTAATTTTGTATTATATAAGATTGAAATGCATCTGACCTCAATAATGGTTGTTTCAAAATATTGTTTTTTTTATGACTATTCACGTAATGTAAAATAGAAATATTCAACGTGAATTGGTTTCAACTAGAATAACATTTGATTTAAAATTATTGTAATATATTTTATTTTTTTTATTTAAAAATCAAAATAAATGGTTACAAATTAACAAGTTTAACAAATAGGTACCATTTTGATTAGCTACCTCCTGTAAGCTAAAATATTGTATTGAAGGTAAGGATTTAATACATTTACAGATAAAATAATATAACTAGGTAATTTCTTATAATAATAAGTACATTCATTTATCAATAAGATTACTATAAAAAATATTTAATAATAGTAACTAACAGAAAAAAAAATGAAACAAAGTTATAACATCAATAATTTAATAATACATTAAGATGATACAACGTTTAATCA